CAGCCAGGGCCCGCGGGTGTCCGGGGGCGTCTGCGGGGAGAGCCGACCTGTGAGAGCGGCACAGCGCCGGCTCCTGTCCGCACTCTGATTCCCAGGACCGCGGGGCGCGGAGCGGTCCTCCTGAAGGTCACAGACCTCCTGGCCACCCAGAAGCTCTTCCCTCTCACCCTAAGATGTCGAATAGGCACCATCTACCACTGGAGCTAAGATTTTCTGCATGGCTTCCGCACACAGGGTCACCCACACACCCCCGGGGTCTCACACCCTCCTCCCTCTTAACCCTCCTGCAATCCTGCTCCCCGGGAGCAGAGGCCCAGCTCTTCTTGTCCCCAGTGTGGCAGACAGAAGAACCCCCGAGGGCGCACACAGAATAGGGTCACGGATCAGCGGAGCCTAAAGCACCCGATTGTTCTGCATTATCTGGGTGGGGCCCGGGCAGCCACACAGACCCCGAGGGAGGTGGAGGCAGGAAGGGCAGGGAGGAAGGAAAAAGGGTCAGGGGATCGCTGTGGCTTTGCAGGACAGAGGGGACCAGAAGCAAAGGGACGCAGAAGCCTGGAGGTTAGGGAAGGAGGGAAGGGGGGGGTCCCTGGTGTCTGCAGAGGACACAGCCCTGCTGCTGACCCTGAGGCTTCAGCTCCGGAGTCCAGGGAGGCCGGTGTCCCTTGGAGAGGGGCTCACTGCAGAGATTCAGACCCAGGAGCCCCAGAGCCCACCCCTCCTGCTCTGCAGAGCTGGGATGGAGAGGGAGGAAGGGGGAGGCTTCCAGGTCCCCAGGTGCCCAGGAGGAGGGAAGGGGAGCCTTCGCTCACCAGTGCCTAGGCCAGGCTCTGCGGGTGACCCCAGTGCCTGGGCCAGGCTCTGCGGGTGACCCGTTGCTGCCTGAAGAGCTTCCTGCAAAGGAAGGAGAGGGCTGGGACTGAGGCTGCCTGGTTCCATCCTGTATGAGATGAGGTGGGGACATACAGTGAATGTTTCAATTAAAAATTACTACAGTCATGCACGTGTTGCCATAATCCCCCTCGGAATCCTCCCCTTGCTTGAAGCACACTGTGGCATCGTTCTCAGCACCCTCTGAAGCAGTTCTGGAGGTCCTCTCTCCTGTCTTCACTTGGAGAGGAGATCAAAAAGGTGAACGCTGCTGCCCAGTGCCCTCTGACAGAAAGGCGGCTCCTAAAACATTGCAGTGTCCTTGTCCCCCATATTCACTGCATCTGCACCCGGGTGACTTCTGGCGCTTCCTCAGCGTCAAAATGACCATGAAAAGTAAACGTTTTGAATCCACTGGAGACGTCCAGGCAGCCAGGGCAGCACCCCTAATGACCCTCAGGAAAGAGGACTGCAGAGCTGCTGCAGGAAGTGCTGAGGACGAGGGGAAGAGTGTGACTGGAGCTAAGAGAGAGTCTGGGGGAGGTTCATGGAAATGCGTCTTACTGGAGGGAGCTTTCACAATTGAGACCCTGCATTTTCCCATCAACCTCGTAATGAGGACTCCTTTGAGGTTGGTCCTGGACCAACACTGGCTTTGTAGGCTAAACTGAGCCTGGGGAGTTCCTGGAGTCCCTCCCAGTCTTCAGGGAGGAGACTGCAGGGTGTGAAGAGACACAGCAGAGCTGGGAGTGGGCTGTCTGTGCTGGGGAGAGCAGGTGCAGGGAGGCGCTGGTGAGGGCTGCTGCAGCCTCAGCTCTCCCACCGGTCCTCCCTGCTCGAGGCTCTCCTGACCCCTTCCCCCACCCGCCTGCGCCTGGGGTGCCCCGCGTGGGCCTCCAGGAGGACAAGAGGCGGTGCTGCTGGCGTCCCGCCTGCCTTTCCCAGGGCAGCTTCTGCACACCCAGCCTCTCTCCCTCTCTGCTTCTCTGTGCTCCGGTCTCTCCATCCTGAGCAGGGCGCTCCGCAGGCAGACACAGCTGTAGGATGGAGTTAGGCCCCGGGAGGTGGGACAGACGTGAGTCCTCCTCACCTGTGGCTGAGAGGTGGACAGGGTCACTCGGGGCTGACCACTCATAGCGGGAGCCGCGGAAAGCGCCATAGCACCGGTAGGTGGCTCCGTGGGCCCCAGGACCCAGCGGGAAGTCCGCCTGGAAAGTGCCCTGGTGGCTCTGAGCAGCAGTGAGCCAGTGCCCCTGGGGCTGCCCCTCCAGGGTCAGGTGGTACACGGCAAAGGGGCGCTGGGAGTTGCAGGACAAGGTCACGTTCTCGCCTGGCCGCCACACGAGGTCCAGCTGGGTGGAGAGGGCAGGTTTCTCGTGCAGCCCTGGGGAAAGTGAGGCAGCTTCGGGAGGCTGCTGTCTGTCACCGCAATTCCACCCAGGCCTGAGGATTTTCTTTCCCTCTCCTACGACTTAGCCTCCGCGATGTTTCCCTTTCTTTCTTCCCTTCTCTTTCTTGGTGTCTGCTTTTCTAATTTTACTCGGTCTGCTCTTTTTATTTGTGTGTGTGTGTGTGTGTGTGTGTGCGTGTACTTCCACCTCTGCTCTCCGTGGGCTCCTTCTCCTGTAACATCGCAGGTTAGGTCCAACCTGGGCCTGAAAACCCCTTTGGGCACTCGGTGAGCGCACAGCACCAGGAATCTCGTTCTTCTCCTTTACCCGGGACTGTGATGGTCTGGGGGATCCCAGCTCAGGCCCGTGCAGGAAGAGCTGTCACCCGAGCAAAGCACCCATGGGTGCCAACGCAGTGAGGCAGGAATGGAATGAGGCTTCCTTCATGGGCTCCGCCGTGACAGCTGAGCTGGGCCCTGAATTCAGGTCAGACCCATGAGGAGTCAGGTAAGGCAGTGGGATGGGAGGGAAGCCCGGCTTCTGCACCGTCCCGGGCTCTGGACAGCATCTCGAGGAAGGACACCCTCTGTGCAGGTGTTTATCTGAGTGTGCAACGACCGGCCCGGTCTGTACCTGCCTTGCTGCCCCTGTGTCTGTGCTTTATGTGTGACCAGTGCTCTGCACTGGTGTCTGCACTGTAGTCTCTATGGGTAAAACTCTCACCAAATCTGTCTCTCTCCAAAAGGACCCCACTGTCTGACATCTTCCTCATGTTTCCTAGGGCTGCGCTCCTACACCATCTGCTCTGTGTCCCCAAAGGGTGCAGCCAGGTGGGGACGCTCTCACCTGTGATCACCAGGTCCAGGGGGTCACTGGGGGCTGAGCACTCATACAGGGAGTGGCTGCGAGACCCATAGCAGCGGTAGGTCCCCGCATGGGTGGCTGTCACAGGGCCCATGGGGAGGGTGGCCTGGGAGCTCCCGTCCTGAGGCTCCCCTGTGAGGAGCACACGGTCCTGGGCTCCCCCGTCTCTGTGCAGAACCAGGATGAACATCTCAAACGTGATGTGTGAGACACACTGCAGGGTCACGGGGGCCTGGCTGGGCCAGGAGGAGGGGTTTCCTGTAGACCCCTGGAAATGAAGAGATGGGGGATTGAGGTCACCGATCCCCTTGCCCCATTGCCTGGGCCCTGGAGTGAGTGAGGGTTTCCCCTCCCCCAGGTTTCTCTTTCTCCTTCCACTCAGCATCTGCACGGTGTCTCTGTGTCTTTGTCCCCTCTGCCTGCATCCGCCTCCATCCCTCTCTGTGCTTCTCTCCATTTCTCTGTGTCTAGAACCAGACTCCGCTCCCCCTGGGTCGTCCTGGGCATCTGCCTCTTGTGCCTGGGGTCACAGGCGCTGCAGGTCCATCCTCAGCTGGCTGCATGGGCCGTGCTCTTGTGGACAAGGTGGGACCCTGACAGGATGTGAAGCAGGTGACATGGTCCTCCTCTGTGTCACCCATTCTGCACTGGGTGGGGTCTCCTGGTGCATCTGTGCCTTCTCCGTGGTCCCAGCCTCCACAGGGTGGCCCTGAGGCTGGATCCAGGAGCTCCAGCACTCACAGCCCACTGGTGGTTTCAGAATCCCGCCCTTCCTGACCTCGGAGTCTCATGGTCAGCTTCCTAATTGGGCCTCGTCCTGGGACCCTGTGTGAGTTTGTGATCGCTGCTGTAACCAACTGCCTGCAAGTTGCTGCTTAAAACAGCACAGAGGTGCCCCCCTGCCCGCTGTGCACTCAGGAGCTTGGAATGGCTGCACTGGCCCAGTTCAGGAGTCCGCTCCTCTGCTTTGCCTTGGCTCCAGGGCAGAATCCACTCCCCTCCTCTCCCAGCTCCAGAGGCTCCTGGTCCTTGGCTCCCAGCCCCTCCCCACCTTCAGAGCTGCAGTGGCTGCTGGGTCTCCCGGGCTCCACTGCTCTGGCCCTCGCTCTCCTCCCTCAGCCTCTCTCCCTGGGCCCTGTGGTCACACGGAGCCCACCTGGGCAACCTGGGAATTCTCCCACCTCGAGGGCAGCTCAGGAACGCCTGGATTCCTCCCGACACAGTCGTACACAGGCCCCACGGTGGAGTGTGGACACCACTGTGGCGCAGGTGCTCAGCCTAGCCCAGTTCCCTGTCCTGAACCCTCTTTTCCTAAACACCCGTGATGTTCTCATTGCTTCTACTCGGCCCCGAATGACACTGGGAAGAAGAAGACGGGACAAAGATCTGCCATTATGGACACCAGCTCTCTGACCTGTAATTACCAGGACCAGAGGGCCACTGAGTGGTGAGAATCTGTGAGGGGAATGAAGGGAAGAGGAAGAGCTGTAGGCCCCTGCATGTGCTGGCGTCACAGGGCCCAAGAGGACGTCCTTCTGGAACATTCTGTGCCAGAGCTCTGGGACATGAGGCCCGTTTTCCTTGTAGAGCCTGAATGTGTCAAACCCATGAGGAGAGTTGCATTTGAGAACCACATGCTCTCCTTGAGGAACGATGGGGCCTGGCCAGGCAGACAGGGAGGGCTTGTCAGGACCTCCTAGGGAGAGGAGGCACAGGCTTAGAGAGGGAAACATGAGGGTCCCCTCGTCCCCATGCTCTGTCTCCCCAGGTCTTTCTGTCCCGAGGCCCCTTTTCCTGTCAGGGGGGCTGGGGCTTCATGGAGACCCCTACCACACAGACATGGCCTGTCTTCCTACAACAAAGCACATTGTCAGAGAATTATAAGCAAGGCTGAATGGTGGACTCTTTGTAGATTTGGCCCTGCAGAGTCAGTTATCCAAAGAGCTCAGCTTAGAGCAGAAGGTGAGAGCTGTGCAAATGAGGTGACTCCTGTGGGAAGCGATGTGTGCAAGAGGGAGGAGCCTGAGTTCTCTGGCTTCACCATTGCCCATCCAGAAACCCAGCTACGCACAGTGTGCACACTGCTGTGAGGATCCCAACCTCAGGGGTGAGCGGAGAGCTCCAGGCCCACAGCACGGAGCAATGCCATGGGGAGCAGAAGAGGAGTGAGTCTCTGCTGTCAGGAGCCCTGCTGCAGGCCTGTGCAGCGCTGCGTGTGCAGAGATGCCCTGGTTCTGTGGTTTCTGTTTGCAAGGGGTGAAATGACTCTGAAAAGAACACCGATGGCACAAGAAATAATAGTGAGAATTGATAAATGTAATTTCATTAAATAAAAAAGGTGCTGCACAACCAAGGAAGGAATGAAGAGAGTGAAGAGACAGCGTACACAGTGGGGGAAGATATCTGCCAGCTACTTCTTGGACAGAGGATTAATATCCAGAAAATGTAAAAATAAAACCTTAGCAACAGCAACAAAACTCAGTCAATAAATGTCAAATGAATCCAGTAGACACTTCTCAAAAGAAGTGAAAAAATGCTCAACATCTAAGCTATTATAGAAATGAAAATCAAAACTAGGGGGAGTTGGATGGATAAAGAAAATGTAGTGCATCTCACAAAATATATTCAACCTTAGAAGAATGAAATCATGTGAACTGTAGGTAAACTGGTGGAACAGGAGCCTGTCAAGTTAAGCCAGAGTCATGAAGTCCAACAGCATATGTTTTATCTTGTTTGAAGAATATAGAAACATGTTTTAAAAAGCACTCACAAGAAGGTAGAAAGGAAGCTTTCAGGGAAGAGATAGTGGATCAGTGGAGTAGGTGGACAGTGTGTGATTAAAGTATGTTATATGCATGCAGACACCAGCAAAAAGGAAAACTACAATTCTGTGTCATTAACATGCACTATACAAAGGAAAAACATCATTGAGTAACATTAAAACATGAGAAAGTAGAAAACTTACCGGGAGAAATAAGTATGAAGGCAAAATGGAATATACTCATCATGTAATGGCAGTGTGAAAATCATGTACGCCTCTTCCACGAGGGTAAAACAAATAATAATAATGATAATTATAATAACTTGTTAAGAAATATGCAGTGTAAAAATCATGGAAAACTATATGTGGGGGCACATAGTTGAGTTAATTTTAGAATGTTTTCAGTCTAAGTTAAGAAAATAATAGTGCCATACTCATAACAGTGTAAGACTAATTGATAGTATAAGGTAGTAATAGTGTAAGATTTTGAAAAAAATCTTCAGGGTAATAACACAGCAGAAACCAGCAATAAGTACACACCAAACTCAAATAATCAGTCAATAAATATTATTAGAGACCATAATTTAAACACAAAGACAGACGGTGGAAGGAATGAATAACTTACAGCATAGCTAGGAAAAAAGTAGTAGTAAGTCCTTATCCATCCATCATCACTTTGAACATAAAGGATTACATTCTCCAATCAGTGTGAGAGTGGATACAAAGGAAGATCCAACCATATGCTGCCTACAAGAGCCTTGCCTCACTTGCAAGAATGCACAAAGACTGAATGTAAAAGGGTAGAGAGAGATTCTATGTGATGGAAACCAGAGAGAGTCTGTGAGACAAATGAGACTTTAAGTCAACAGAGGTAAAGAGAATTAAAGGAGTCACCATATGGTGATAAAGGGGTCCATCCAGCAAGAGAATATCACATTGTTTTGCTGTCACTTTTTTCCTTTTTGGTACTGGGGATTGAACTCGGGACCTTGTGCTTGCGAAGCAGGTGGTGGAACCACTGAGCTAATGGAATACCAGATTGTAATATGGACTCATCCATTTTCAAAGTCCCTGGATATATAAAGTCAACATTAAGAGATCAGAATGAAGAGATGGACTGCACTCCAATGATACTAGGAACTTCAACACCCCTCTGGCAGCAGAGGAAAGAACCTCAGCCACCCTGTAGACTAAATGGACCCAACAGACTCGTATGGAAAATTTCATCCAGCTGCTGCAAAATTCATATTCTTCTAGAAGCTCATGAACATTATGCAGGAGAGTTCATATGTTCGGCCACAAAACATTTCTCAGCAAAGTCATATAAACCAAAATCACATAAAGTATCTTCTGACCACAGTGGTCTAAACCTTGAAACCCATAACAGAATTGCTTAGGAAAATTCACAAGTACATGGAGAATAAAAACCATGTCCCTAAAAAATCCAACGGGTCAACAAACAAATGAAAAATGAAAAACAGATATCTTCAGGCAAATGAAATGATATCAGCAGACATGAGAAAAATATTAAAGAACCGAGCCTGTGTGAGAATGTTCTGGGATTCCTGGGGTTTGGGTGTACAGTGCTCTACCGCTCTGATAGGACGAAAGTGGCCGCACTCTGTGGGTCCCACCTGGCGGAAATGCTGCAGAGCTGAGTTGCCATCTGGTCCTCAGAGGCTGCTGTGCCCAGCTCTGCCTCTTCTCCCTCCACAGATGACACCATCTCCCCAGGCGGCAGCTCTGAGCTGCAGCCTCCTGCAGGTGCTCAGGCTCAGCCTGGGCAGAGTGGCTGGGAGGGCCCTGGGCACAGACTAGGGCCATGTCTGCAGGGCCCGACTGTCCCAGCCACAAGTGATTCTCCCACATCTCTTCTCCCAGTCAGTTTCCAGCCCAAGCCCTGTGCAGCCTGCCCTCCCTCCCCTCACAGGTGCACCCTTCTGTTTTGGCAACAGGCTCACCCGTTTGTGCCCAGATCCTCTGCATCAAGAAGAACCCTGCAGAGAAAGTTCCAGGATGGGTGAGGCAGCTCCTCGAGACGCCTGCTCTCCCCTGCCTTCCTGTGTGGCCCGTGAGCCTCTGCAGCCAGACCTGCTCATGAAGGCCACCAAAGCCCACCACCCCTGGAGACAGGGCTCCCTGCTGCAGGCAGAGCCAGCCCCCAGCCCACACTCCACCCCAGTGCCCACACGCGGACTCCCAGCAGGACTCACCGGGACACAGCAGGCTGAGGACCAAGGGTGACATCCCTTGGCTCCTCCTGTCCACAGAGGCAGCAGCCTGGCAGCACAGCGAGCACAGGATGTCAGGAGGGGCCGGAGCTCTGCTTGCAGGGCGACCACAACAAGAGAAGAGGAGCAGGGGCCTTGTGTGTGTGGCGGGGCGGCCTGGCTTCCTGGAAGTTGTTCAGACCGCAGCCAGGGTGGCCATCTCTGCTCAGCAGTTACCATGGCTGGTCACAGGCAGCCTCAGACCGGATCCTTGCTGTGCAGAGCGGTCACATTGGGTGTGTGTGTGTGTGTGTGTGTGTGTGTGTGTGTGTGTGTGTGTGTGGTTGCACTAGAAGTTTTTGATGCATATTGTTGTTTTTAAATCTTAGACCCAACCGTTCTTTGTGTGGAGCCCGCAGTGTCCCACAGACGTCTCTGGCCACCGGGACTCCTCACAGGGGCCGCTCTGGTCTCCCAGGCCCAGGTGCGATTTCCTTCCTGTCCTACTTCTCCTGTCCTCTCTGGCTGGTCCCAAGTGGACTCTGTGGAGCCGGTGTCTCCCTCACCCCTTCACCCCTCGCCTTCCACATGAACTCCCAGCGCGGTTCAAAATAGACATTATTAGTCTACAGCGATCCTAACGTCTATGACTGTATAAATGCAAATTATCGTCCTTGATAGTAATTCTAGCATTGAGCCTGTGACAGTTTAATCATTAAAACTACCCATCAACTGATGACATAACTGCTAGAATAACAGGATTCCAGTCCACTAGCAAAAGAAGACGCATGCAAGTTCTGGGTCTTACACCTTCCCTGCAGTTTGTTTCTTGGCACAAGGATCGGAGCGCATTCCCGTCTCTCTCTCTTCCTCCGTGGCCTTCGGACAAGGTGTGGCGATGTGGCTTGGGCTGGCCTGGAAGCCGTGGCGATGCTCTCTGCACGCAGAAGGCAGCTCCTGTGGCCGAAGGTGGCAGGGCGAGGAGGAGGAGCCCTCGCCTCTTCCCCCTCTGCACTAATCTCATCTGGGGCCAGAGTTCCACAGTGAACCATTTCTGGGAGGACCCACCTCTTAATCCCGCTACAGGGAGAGCGAGTCACAGCGTGGGTTTAGGAGGGAGAACTACTAAAACTGGCGACAACCGTGTACTTCTGTGCCTAGGTCCACTTGTGTCTGGAAACAGCACCCACCCAAAGAGAGCGCCCGACTGGCAGTGCCATCTCTAAGTTGTTCACTCCATCCATTTTTAAGAGAACAATGCAATGTTTATCAGACCAGCAACCCCTGACCAGAATACCTATCCCTGTATCTGTCACCCCAGAAGGTCATGTGTCTCGATTTCTGTGTCCCACTGATTTCACAGGTACCTGGGTCCGGCGACCGGAGAACAGGTCCTGGATATTCTGTTTTAAAATCTGAGACGTGCTAGGTGTGGTAGCACATGCCTGTAATCCCAGCACTTAGAAAGCTGAGGCAGGATTGCCGGGAGTTCAAGGCCAGCCTGGGCTACACAGTGAGGCCCTCTCAAAAAACCAGAAAAACCAAACCAAACCAAAAGCAAAGCAAAGCAAAGCAAACAAACCCGAGGCAATTTGAGTCCTCAGAGAGTGGTCCTAAGGGTCCAGTCCAGCCCATCCTTGCCCAGCCTTCAGCCTCAGGAAGGAGGATTTGCCGCCCCCTCCTGGTGGGATGTGGTTCCTGTGCTGAAGTGAACACCGGCTGACTGATCTCTGTCAAGGACAGATCCAGAGCCCTGTGCTGTTCACAGTCAGACTTTCAGCTGCAGCAATGGCTGAAGAGCGTGTGGCGAGAGGGAGTCACCAGGTTGGGCCCACGTGTGCTCTCTATTGCACCGTGGCCCACTCTGCGTGCAGCGGGGCCCTGGAAGCAGAGCTGGTAGAGCCCCACTGGCTTGGTCCGGTCCCTGCTGGTCCCTTCCTCACCCCCGCCCCTGCTGTGGGCTGCACTTGCTGCTGGGACACAGGCTCACTGCAGAGGACGTTGTTTTGTCTCCTCAGCACCGGTCTTAGGTGTTGGTGCCTGGGCCCTGAGGCTCCAGAAGGGAGGGCTCAGCTGTGAGGTCCCCGAGAGCTGAGGGCAGAGCACAGAGCGGTGTCCTTGGACTAAAGCAGGTGACAGAAGTCCCTGTGCCCTGGGTGGGGACAGGGCCTCACCCGGGCATCCAGCTCCACCCCATCCTCAGGCTGTGAGTCCTTCACGGCAGCATCTGTGGGCACAGAACAAGGGGTCCCCTCCTGGCCAGAGTCCCCAGGGCCTCTCAGCCCCACAGGCCCCCGCCCCATCCCCACTGGGGACACAGATCCAGGGAGCTGAGCCGATGTCCCCAGGACCAGTGTCGGGGTCCAGTCTGCCCCCCTGCCCTGCTGTGCTGACCGGGGCACAAAGCTCAGACCTCGCCTGAGGCCCCTGGGGGGACGGAGACGGGGACGGGGTCTCTGCCCTGGACTCTGAGCTGGGCTCTGAGGGGATCCGAGGCTCTCCGTCCCTGGGGGCTGCTTTCCCAGCCTGGGGTCCTGAGCCCCTCTGAGGCACAGGGGTCCCATCAATCCTGAGACCCAGGGTGCCCTTTCCGCACTCACCCGCCCCCCTGCATTTGCAGCGATGCTGGTGTCGAAGAAAAAGGATGAGGAGGAGGAGCACAAGCAGCAGGAGGAAGGCCCCGGGGACCAAGATCAGAAGCTTCAGGCTCCTTTCTGACCCTGGGACGGGACTGAGGCCTGCAGAGAGGAAAACGCACTGAACTGAGCGCCTCGTGCGCCAGGTCCAAGGTGGGTCCTTGTATTCGTCACCTCCAACCCTCACCGTCCTGCAGCACGGATGTCACCCACCCAGGCAGGTCACAGACCAGGAAACTGAGGCTCAGAGAGGGAAATCGCCTGTCCCAGGTCCCCGGGCAGGAAGGGGCAGAGCTGGGCAGTCTGCCTTCAGCCTTGTTCTATCCAGCAGGGCTGAGCCCCTGAGCTGGAGGGAAGGAGCCCGCACGCCTGCCGTGGCTGGGGGTCATGGTCACTCTGATCACATGGCACACTGGTCACAGCTGTGCCGATAACTGTGACGGCTCCACCTGCTAGGTCACGTAGACCCTCGGCGTGTGGCTCCTTGTTCTCTGGATTTTGTTCATTTTGGGAGCTGTCCCTTTAGCAGTCCCATCCTAAGGGGACTTGCCTTTCCTGTAATTCAGATTTGTTCCCTCAGGTCTGTGCCAGTCATGCAATATCATGAGTTTTTCTCCTGCTCTGTCTTCTTGTTTTGTCCTCATCTCCCTGGGGGCCAGGACACAACAGCCAGTGGACCCACGGCCTTCCTGAGCTGCCCCTTCCGGTGAGGGTACTGAGGGCCGGACGTTCCTCCAGAGTCTCCCCGCGGTCTCCTCAGCCCGTCCACTGCCCAGCACGGTGGTCCTCACCATGGCTGCTGTCTCCTGCCCTGGAGATGCTGCGGGAAGACGCAGGTTCCTGTTGCAGGTGACGCAGAGCAGAGCCCCCGATCCTGACTGCGCGCTCACCAGAGCTGTGTCCTGGGATGAGCGCGGAGGAGAGGCGTGGATTTAGGGCAGGAAACATGACTCATTTCCTCACTCTCCACGGGGTTTCCTATGCTAACCGGTCCCTTTCACGTACTTCCTTTTTCGTGTCACTGAGTCCATTCCCATCTTCCTGTGAACAAAGTTCTGAGCCATCTTCACTTTCTCAGAGCCCTGGGGCAGTATTCTCCTGAGCTGGGTGACTTCTGTTTCCTGGCTGGTCAGCACCACTCCCTGTCCGTGCTTCCTGGACCTTAGCAACTCTCACTGACCCTCAGCTTCCTCAGCGGCAGCTGACGTCCACACCTCACTCCTAGAGCGGTTGTGGGGTCAGCGGTGCCTGGACCTGGGGCGGCTCAGCATGGTCAGTTTGAGGGCAGGGAAGCCCTGGGTTTGGGACATGCGCGGTCCGCGGTGTGGGACCACAGACGTGCCCGGACCAGGTCCCTATCTGCTCTGAGCACTTCAGAGCGGTCTGCTGATTACGTGTGAAGCTTCCAGATTAGCAGGGTCATGGGAATCAGCACAGAAATGAAGGTGCTCACATGGAGAAGGACACAGAGGCCAAAGCTGAGAGGCCCTGGAATCTGGGAGCATCAGAGGGTCACTGGAGAGGGCTTCCCTCCTCTCTGCCAGGTTGGGTGGGGTCAGGCCACAGGCGAGGGTCGCAGGCTGCACTCCCTGTGTGTACAGAGGGGCGCTGGGCTCTCAGCTCCCTGTCGGGGCCATGATCCGCACTGAGCCCCCTCCCTGTGTATGCAAAGACCAGATTTACTCCCACACTGTGATGGCCAGGCCTCGTGTGTGAGGGTCACAGGTGACCCACCCCTGCAGGCACGAGGGGGCAGGAGCTAAGTTGGAGGTGCGTCCGTTCCCTCAGGGCGGGAGCGGCTGCAGCTTCCTCCTCAGGCCTGATTCCTGGGTCGGCCCTGGTGAAGCCCAGGCAGCTCAGGTGCAGCGAGCAGAGACACCCAGCAGGGACGGACAGTGTGCAGGGTGTGAGGTTAAAATGGGAAACTAGGGAGAAGGAGATGTGCAGTGTTCCAGTGGTGGGAAGCAGCATCCTGGTAAACGTAAGCTCGCGTCTCCTGTCTTTTCTAGTTCTCTGAGGTGAACAGTTTCATTATTTAAGAACTTTCACCTTTTAGCTCTTTTTACAGTTGGAATTCTTATTTCGACATAAACTTCTCATCACTTCTTTTGTTTTACTGCATGCGTTTTTATTTTATTTTAACATCACTGCTGTGGATTGACCTAAGGCCTCAGTCATGCTAGGACAGCTAGGCCTCGTCTTGCTGGGATGAGCTGCATCCCACACCTTTTACAATTTTACTCTAAGACATTTCTAAGAAATTTTATTCTCTAAGAGCCCACTCTGGCCTTGGAATCGTCCAGCTCCTGCCTCAGCCTCCCAGATAGCTGAGCTCACAAGCTGCACCACCAAACCCAGCCCTTTGCCGCCCTGCTCGTGGGACGTTTGTAGATTTCTCTTTCCGGTTGCTCTGAGTGTCACAGGAGACTTGTATTTATAGCACTCCGTCTTCACTCCTTCTGCACACCGCAATGGGCCTGCTTTTATGTTGTGTATCTGTTGACACATTTTGTGTCAGAGTCACTCGTACTCCGGTCCTTTCATTTCGTTGGTGGTACCGAGGGTCAGACCCAGGGCACTCGGCGAGCTGGCCAAGCAGTCCACCCCTGAGCGACTCCCCAGCCGAGCCGTGTTTCCCTCTTACAGTCGGATTAGTGTGATCCACGCGGTACAATCCCTGTATCCAGCGCTCTGTATGTGTCTACATGTTTTACGGTTCCGATGAAGAAAATGGAAGAATAACAAGAAAAATGTACACCGAGGGTAAGCTCACAAGCTGGGGCCGGGTGGAACCACAGCCTGATGAGCTAATGGCCGCCTGCTGCACCACCCGCTCTTTTCTATAGTCGAGGGCAAACAGGAAGAGGGGCTGAGGTAAATCATGCCAAGCGGAAGCCGTGTGGCTGCGGAACAGGGATGGATACAAGGCAACTGTCTCCGGGGGCTGTGCCGCCACCCAGGGTCTGCAATGCTCGCACGTCTGTCCGACCCTTTAATCTGTGGAGGAGAAAGGGAGTAGCAGGCAGAAAGCGGATAAGGAGCAGGAAGGACCGTCTTCAGGCTGTGTTTTGCTGTCATTTTGGTTTCTGGGTCTTGCAGGACAAATCAAAGGTCTTATCAATGCGGAGCACTTTAGCATTGAGCTACACCTCCAGCCTCATGCTGCTGTTTGGTGTCGCTTGGTTTAAACGTGGAGAACCCCATTCATTATTTCATCTAAGGCAGCTATTTTAGCTTTTTATTATCCTGAAAAAAATACGTGAAAAAAACCAAGTTAGAGGAAATGTTTATTTCAGCTCATACTTTCAGACGTTTGGGCCATGATCAGCTGGTTCGACTGCTTTTAGGGCCACGGTGAGGTAGAACTGGAGGAGCAGAGGACAGGAAGGAGAGAGAAAAGGAGAGAGGGCAGGGCAGAGAGGGGCTGAGTGTGCAGCCAGGACTCCAGTCTATTGGACGGGGCTGCCCACACTCAGGGTGGGTCTCCCCTGTCGGTTGGCTGACCCACCTGCCAATCATCTCGGAATCCACACACACACACACACACACACACACACACACGCGCGCGCGCGCGTGCACACGCGCACACACACATGCCCTGTCCTTGTTTCCCTCTCATCTCAATGCAGTGAAGTTGAAAATGAAAACTGAGCCTCACAGCAGTTCCAGCGGTGATGGGCTTCCTCGGAGCCTGTTTACGAAAGGGCTTCACCTTCATACCTGAAGGACACTGCCATGGGCCCACCCAGCCCAGTGTGGGCACAGGTCGGAAGGAATAAAGATCAGGGTCTTGAGACACCTGGCTGCACGTACACAGCCACATCATTCCCACCGCGAGACACGGGAACAATCCAGGGCCTGCTGACACACGAGCGGGTTCAGGCGGCTGGTAGGGCTAACGCCCGGAGATGAGAAGAGGCTTGGGGACAGCGTGGCAGCTCGGGCGCGCCAGGCAGGAAGGCAGCCACGCCGTGGAGAGTGAGGCCTGCCGTGGCACCTTCCACGTGGGCAGCATCACCTCTGCTAACAACCGCGCAGCGCCCACTGCAACAGTGCAAAGTTAGCCCCCGGGAGAGTTTCACAGCTCAGTGGTTACAGCAGGAAAAGTGGGTGGTGGGGAACCGGAAATGAAAAGAAAAAGCAAAATTTGAAAAATTCAGAGATGGGACTGGAAAAGGAAGACAGAGATGTAAAGGAAGACAGGTAAGATATACTTTTCCTATTGAGGAGAAAAAAATAAAATAAATTGAGATAGAGAACACTCACTGGAAAAAATGAAGAAGAAAAGAACATAAAGAGCCAGAAATGGAGAAAAAAGAAATGTAAGAAGGGACTGGCATCGTGAAGTTGGCCACGAAAGGAAAGTTACGGTACTCGGTGAACACCTAAGGTCAGGGCTGTTTAAAAAAGTGGTTTTTAAAGCTAGTTGTAGTGGCAAATGCCTGTAATTCCAGCCCCGTGGGAGTTGAGTCAAGGATCCTAAATTGGAACCAAGGATCCTAAATTCAAAACAAGACTGGGCAACTTAGCTGGACGCTGTGAATAATCAGTGCACCGAGCCCAAGTCATTATATTTCAGGAGAAACTGCACAGAGATCACCTGATGACAGCTAGCGGGTTTCCAGGTATTGGTTTTTTTCATGTTGGACTCATATTTTTGCCCACGTTTCTGTTATTTGAACCAATTCCAGGTTGTCAGCTGAAAGGACGGAGTCTCATTCATACACGTTGGGGAATGTTGTAATTACAATTAAACGGCGCACGATGGCGGAACAGGGCATGAAGCATGCAGAGGTGAGGCCGGAACCTGGCCTGTGGGCCTCAGCCTCACAGATGGAGCGGGAAGAGAGGAGGGACCGGCAACAGAGCCTGCAGTGAGACGGGCACCGGTGCGGCAGCTCTGTGGGGAAAGCCCTCTGTCCTCACGCCCGCCGGTCGCCGTGCTCTGACCACGTGTGCTTCTGCGACATTTTCTCAACCGAAGCCCCCAGCTGTGCACTGTATTTTCTTCCGCAACCTCCTGAGACGTCAGGTTATTCCCAAGGCTCTGCCGCTCCGAGCAGTGACTGCTGTCTATCTATCGTCTTTACCTCCTGGCCGTGTCTCGGGTCCTTCTCTGGCTGTGCCGAGCCTCAAGTAGCAGAACCCCGAGGACCACCAGGACCAGGCCGGCCAGGCCCATCCGGATGAGATTCCCCACTGTGTAGTCCTGGGGGTGAGAGGCTGGGGTTGGGGAGACAGGGGGCACAGAGGTGAGGACATGTGAAGATGATTCCAGGCTCCCTCACTGTTCACCCAGGCCACCTGCCTCCCCCAACAGGCTGAGCCCTGTGAGTCAGCGCCGTAGCTGAGAATCCTCCTTCCCTTGTATCTTGGACTCTGCACTGTCCTGAGATGGGCTGCCGGTCTCAGGCTGCACGGCTCCTGAGGGCCAAGGATGAGGAGCAGAACGTGGGAGGCGCTGGAGCCCCAAGTCCCTGCCTGAGCTCCACAGCCTGCACCTCTTTCTCCGCTCTGTTCAGGTCCCGAGTGAGCCCTTGCCCTGCTGTGGCGAGGCCCCCTCAGAGTCCCCACACTCTGTGAGCACAGGTCTTGTGTCGGAGTCACCTTGGGGCAAAGTGTGGCTCAGCTCCGGGAGCCTGGGATGGATGGGAATAATGCTTTCTCAGTCCAGAAATAACCAAGTCGTTGAATGCTGTCTGTCAGGCAGGGACACAGGAGATACGAGCTACTCCCTGAACCGCCAGCGAGGGACTGGGGTCCAGGGCTCCTGAACATCAGGGGCTCAAAGAGAGGAAGGAAGTCAGGGGCTGCCTCCCCTTACCGCCCAGGCGGCCCCCTGGTGCTTATCACCCAGTTACCCTTCGGATAACCAATTACCACGCAGTAGGAGACACTACGGAGCAGTACACACACTCACACGCACTCACACCTGCAAAAGCATATATGTTCTACATGTCAGTGATGTCAGAGCTTTATAAGCCACGGATTTCTGCCTCTTAGAGGTATGCATCTATGTTGGGTGACCAGTAGTACACAGATAAAAGCTGAGCAATAGTGGGAATTCAGATGAAAGCTTGAGATACACACACATGTACATGCAGACGTACAGTCCATGTCATTAATCACTGCATGTGTGCGGGACTATGGAACGGCAGAAATGTGTGAAACTACACCTGTATATTTGCAGCTGACACATTGGTCTCTAATTTAGAAACCAGAACAGTTCCAGGTTTGGGCACAGTGGTGCACGCCTGCAATCCTAGCACTTGGGGGTAGCGGGGCTGAGGCAAGAGCATTTCAGCAAGTCTGAGGCCAGCCTGAACTACGCAGCGAGACCCTGTCTCAAAAAAAAGCAACAGAATTTCAGTCTACTCGTGGTTGATGTACGTTCTATGTGCAGATTCAGAGAGACTGAAAATAATTAGTGGACAGAATTCCGAGTTAATATGAAGTAAAATACACATAAACGAATAGCTTTTCTACAAATTAATATTTAGAAAATATACAGTAGCCACAGTTCTGAATTTCAAATTATTAAAATAGTTGCACAATTCTTAAATTGACTCTGAACATACATGACTTTAGGAATAACATGTTCCTAAAGTTCATTAATTAACTGCACATTTAAATATCTTTCATGAGGTGCATCATTGGTACATAAGTGTAATCTGAAGTTCTGAATATATGAGGTAGAATTACTTTAAAACTCTAAATCCATGTATTTAGACTAAACGTCCATTGTACTGTGTAAAAAATTGAGGAAATGAGAAACAATACGGACTGAACAGCAAGCACACAGCAGGATCAAGCTGAATCCACTGGACCCGTGGCACAGGGACCAAGCACCGGCCCAGCCAGCGGTGCCAGCCCCTCCTGAGTCTCAGGTGCCCACAGGGCACAGAGGCCCCAGGTGACGCAGCAGCAGCCTGGCTGCTTCTCCCTGCAGGAGCGGGTATGGGGGGCTGGGCCTCTCCCACAGGCGACCCCAGGCCGAGCAGCCTCCTGCCCTGGTCCCAGGGGGCCCAGGAACTGAAGGTGTGGAGTGGCTTCGGCCTCGGGGTCTCTCAGAAACTGGAATGGGCTGGGTAGAGCTCATGGTCCCCAGCTCCCTGGGGTGCGCAAGACTATGAGTTGGATCCCAGCACAGGAGAGGAGGGGCGGGCGCCAAGGCGGCCTCTGTGCTCCCATCCACCCTGGCCCATCTGCTCCGCGCCCTCCCTGGCCCTTCTGCTCCTCCACCTGCACATGTCCTCCCAGACAGGCCCAGCTGGGGTCAGCAGACCTGTGTGCGGGGCTCTCCACAGAAGCTGTGTGACTTGTGTGAAGGAGAAGGGACTTGAACCCGGCGTGTTTTCATAGTCTTTCTTGTTTCCATGACACTGTGGCTTTATCTCACCACACTGAGGCCCCAGGACTGGGGGATGAACCCACACGCCTGCCCCTGTCTGATTCTGGACCCATCCAGGTCACAGTGACCGGGAAAAGCAGGATGGGCTCGGGCAGGCCTGCAGACCAGAGCAGACCTCACATGCCCGGATCTGCCACCCTGGGACATCAGAGTGGACACTGAAGGTCACTTCTCCATTTCCCCAGCCCAGATTCAGAGCCCAGAGTAGGAGGAGGGGCTGAACCAAAGGAAACGCTCCTAGGGCTCCAAAATCTCAGTTCACAGTGCTCAGGGAGAATGGAGGACTCTGCCTGGCTCCACTAAGCTCGGGCTCAGAACTTAGATGGAGGCCGGACTGCCTGCTGCTTCTGTAGACAGAAGGAAAGTGTCCTTAGCTCTCTGTGACTGACACAGCAGGATCACCATCCTCCCTTGAAGACAACAAGGGTCTTGGCTGCAACCAGAGGGAGGGAGGCGCTGGCAGGGCCCAGGAGGAAGTCGGCCTAAGAGAGCCCAGCCTGGCGCTGCCGGCCAGGGCGCTGGGAGAGGTCCCAGGCCCCCTCCGTGGACAGAGCGAATGTGTCATAGGTGATGTCAGAGCGACACTGCAGGGTCAGGGTGTGTCCAGGGGCCAGGACAGGGCCCTGCTGGGTGAGGAGGGAGGGCTTCCTGGGCAGCCCTGGAAGAGGAGGAGCCGGGCTGAGGGGCTGCTTCCTGCCCTGGGGTCTCCCTGTCTCTCACCGGGGTCTCTGGCTCTCCCTCATCCTCTCTGGGGCTGTTCTGAGGAAAAGAAACCCAACAACCTGCTTGGTACCCAGAATTATATCAAACAGGGCCAGAACTTTCTCACCTGAGACCAGGAGCTCCAGGCAGTCGCTGGGTACTGACCACAGCTGGAGTTGGCTCCTGTAATAGCCGTAGCACCTGAACGTCCTATTGTGGCCGGGGGTCACAGGGCCCACAGAGAACAGGGCTTGGACCAGCCCGCTGGGGCCTGGCTGGGAGTCCAGCGTCCAGGAGAGCTCATCATCCTTGGTAGTCAGAACGAACAGGTTATATCTCTGCTGTGAGCTACACTGGAGGGTCACGGTCCCTCCTGAGGTCACCACAGGGCTGGGCAGCACTGAGAGGCTGGGCTTGCTGTAAAATCCTAGAAGAGGAGTCAGATAGTTAAATGGACTCACCCCTCCCACACTGTCCCCAGGGCTGGGCTGTGAGAGGGGACACCCTGAGTGCAGACCCCTCCTGAGGGCAGAGCCGGGGCTGGGCCCCCGAGTGTCCTCTCACCTGTCACCACCAGCTCCAGGGGCTCACTGCGCTCTGACCAGCCAGCAGGGGTTCGGTAGTAACAGCGATATCGTCCTGCATAGTGCTCTGTTATGTGTTCTATGGTGAACTTGGTCTTGTTCCTGGGCTGCAGTAGCTCCTGTTTGTCCCAGGGCACTTGTGTTCCCTGTTTCTCCAGACAATAGTCCTGGGCCTTCAGGGTCCCCTCACACCAGAGTGTCACAGGCTTCCCCCATGGTATCACAGATCCTGGCTCAGCCCAGAGCCTGGGTGTGGGGAGGGTCCCTGAGGGAGATCACAGCTGGGTCTCAGGCCCGTCCTGCTCCCTCACACCCCAGCTCTCAGCCCCAGGACCCTCCACACCTCCCCAGCACCGGCCCACACCTGCTGTTCTCCCTCCCCACTGCCCACGGTGGCCCCTTTTCCCCGGGAGGAGGAGGGACAGGGACAGCTGGGGACACACTCACCGGCCTGCACTCGGGTCCTGGGGCCCAGACTCAGCCCTGGAAGAGAGCTCCCCGTGAGAGGTTTGCCCCGGAGCCTGAGCAGGTCCTCTCCTCCCGGGGCCTCCTGAGCCCTGGGTCTCCTGATGGAGCAGGGCTGGCTGTGGGGTGGGGGCCCTCCCAGAGCGGGGTGTCCCCTGCCCTCTTCCCGTCTCACCCAGGCAGAGCAGGGCCGTGAGGCTGGGGGTCATGGCTCCTCTCCCACTCGCCCTGGTTTTGTGGATGAGTGCAGGGTCCAGCAGGACCGAGTGAGGCAAAGGGCGCGGCCACTTCCCATGCTGGGGTTGATGCAACAGCAGCCCCACAGGAAGGGGAACTGCGGGGAGTTCCTGGGAGCCTGCTTGTCTCTGCCCAGCTGAGCTGGGGGTGGGCAGCAGGCTGTGTGCATACTTCAGCCGGGATGAGGGGGTGCCTTGCCCTGGCCTCTGTCTCCCCCATCTGTCCTCACCTCAGCAAGGGCCAAGACCTGGGAGCAGAGGCCTGGGCCTTCCTGAGCTGCCCCTTCTGGTGAGGGTGCCCAGGGCCAGGCCTTCCTCCAGAGCCTCCCCGAGGTCTCCTCCCTCCCTCAGCCCGTCCACGGCCCAGCACGGGGGTCCTCACCATGGCTGTCGGCTCCCGCCCTGGAGATGCTGCGGGGAAGATGTGGTTCCTGCTGCAGGTGATGCAGAGAGAGCAGAGCCGCACTGAGCCTGACTGTGCGGCTCACCAGAGCCATCTCTGTCTCCTGTAGAAAGAAGCTTTCCGGGCTGTACAGAGCAGCACTCTCTCTGCAGACCACCTCCCAGCACCATGCTGTCCTTCTGTCCACTGCCCATGCTGGCCCATGGCTCACCCAGCCCTTACTGTGCACAGCCTCGGTGTCAGGCGTGGGAGTCACTGGGGAAGCTGCAACCTCCTCCCCTGAAAGCCCCCAAGGTCAGATGCCAGGTGCCTCGGTGTCCGCTTCCCAGGAGCAGGGAGGAGATATGGGGACAACAGGACACAGTAATGTTGGAGTGCGAAAATCCGATTTCGGGGAGGGCAAATCTGCAGAAAGACAGTGACAGCAGGTATTGCAGGCAAGGCTCATAAAAGGGGGGGTCAAGGCATTCCTGCGGAAGAAACAAAGGGAGACCAACACCAGGCTGTAATTAACCAGTAACCCATCGAGTCCATGAGGAAGGCCATAATTCAAGGGAAGGAATTTAGTTGGAGCCACACTGTCCTTGGGCACAATGATGTCTCACCCAGGGCCCTGCAGCTTCACGCGCAGGACTTAGGTCTCTGCTGCAGCCACTGGCAGAGGAGCTGTGCTCAGCCATGATAACGGTAGGTGTTCGGATGGAGGGATGGGCGGACGGCTGGAAGGATGGACAGATGGACAACCAGGTGGAAGGAAGAGAGGAGGGAATGAAGGATGAAGGGATAGATGGACCGATGGACGGATGGACGGGAGGAAGGAAGGGCGGTGGGTAGATGGTGACAGCATGAGGCGCACATGTACACGGCAACTGTGCAAGCTGGGGCTTAGATTCCACAGGGTCCGTTCTCAGCCCACACAGCTTCACACAAACCTTAGCTCCTCCTCATGCAAAGGGACAACACGGCTCTCTCGGAGAATTAGTATGATCACTGCCATCCCTGCCGGGCCAGCACAGGGAATGAAGCTCCCGGAGAGGCCCCTGACCCTGCTCCCAGCCTGCTCCCCAAGGCAGCTGGTTCAGCTCCTGGGCCTCGCCCTGGCCTCTCCCTGTGGACTCCGCACCTCCCACTCCCTCCCTCCTCCTTGCACAGAAGTCTGCGCCTCCCTTCCGGCGCAGGGGTCCTGGCTCTGCCTTTCCTGGGCTCCAGCAGCTTGTCCTGCAGCCTGAGGCCGTCGCTGTTCAGCAGAGCCTAAGTTCCTCCCCCTCTCACCCCGTCCTGTGGTTTTCAGTCAGGGGCAGCGCTGGTGGATCCTGACCGCCCCAGTGGCCTGCTCTGCTGTCCAGCTCACCCCTTCGCCCTGGAGAGGAAGTGGAAAACCTGGCTCTTCCTGGGGATCCTAAAACCAGCAGTGACCACCTGGTGCGGGACCGGCCCCACAAGGCACAGACAGACCGGGAGGTCACGAGGGGACGGAGGAAGGAGGCTTCTGGAGGTGACTGCAGAGGGACTGTCCAAGCACAGACCGCCTCCCGGGCAGAGCTGTGGCGTGTGTGTGTGTGTGTGTGTGTGTGTGTGTGTGTGTGTGTGCTCCCGACTCCTGAAAACCTGCAGGGAGAGTGACAGGCAGGAGGCAGAAACAATGCTCAGGGTGCACTGGGAGACCTGGAGGACTCTGTCTCTGTGGATAGGCTTCCTACCACAGTGGCTGAGCTTTTATTAATCAGCAAGAAGCACAGGGGAGGGGACAGGGACAGCAGGAAGTTTAGAATGGGCAACTGGGCCCAAGGTTTCTCAAGGGGAAAAGTTAAGGTCCTTCCCCACATCCAGAGGGGAGGCCTGCATTTTCATGGTTCCCAGTAGAGGCTCTCCTGTCCAGGAGGGCTGTGATCTCCACTTTCCCCCACAGCCGGAACTCTAGGTCTTGCATACGCCTCTGTCCCTGAGACAAGTTACCACTGACCTTGGGACTGGGGGGGCTATAATCTGGCCCCCAAATCCATGCATATCATGACTGGACCCAGAGAGAGCTGGGCTGGGAAGGAGGGTTGGATGTGCTGGGGTCTGAGGTGAAGAGCTGGGTCCCCATTGTGGGCTGCAGGGTCCTCAGGAGACCAGCTGGGCTCAGCCTCTGCAGGGCTCAGACCCCTAGGGTCCTTCCAGAGCCCAGGAGGTGAGCAGCCCAGGCCAAGTCTCTCAGAGGACAGCTGGGCGCCCAAGCTCAGCCCCTGTGAATCAGGGCTGCCCGAAGCTGAGCCTCCCCGCCCCCCTCATGACCACCACTTGGTTGCACTTGGCACGTGGCTTCCCAAGGTCCCCCGCGGTCAGCCCGCCCTCCATGCAGGTCGGGAATGTGCTGTGGGCTTGTCCTCCTCGTCCACCACCCAGTAGGGTCTGCGGCCCGGCCTCCTTCAGCAGGGCCCTTCGCGCCCTCTCCCTGCCATCCTCTGTGTCCCCATGGACCTCACCCCGTGGATGTGAGCCCGCCTGCCTGAGTCGGGCAGCGCTGAGCCCAAAGCTTCCCCGCCAAGGTGCCGTCCTGGGGTCGAGATCCGGACCATCATCCCGCGTCCGGGGCACTGACTCCTCGGCTGGATGTGGGCCGCGTGTCTTGTGCCCTGCGTGTCCGTGTCCCGCGTGGCCTGCGCTGGGGAAGCAGCGATGCCTGCACTGCCCCGGGCGTCGCCCCCTCTCTCCCACCGGTAGGGGACACGCGGGCCCCGGGGAGACAACAAGGAGGGAGATGAACAACAGATGGCCTGGCGACACGGAGCCGCAGAGGCGCAGCAGAAGGACAGGGCGCGGGCCACGGGGCGGGAGCGGGTAAACTGAGGACGCGGAAGGCAGAGATAAGGGGGCAGGGCCAGCTTCCAGCTGACTGAGAGCCCAGCACACTGGACCGGACCCTGGACCCGGCCTGCCTAGGGCTCTGTCCCCAGAGAGGGGCGGGGTTAACGGGGATGGAGGTCCATGCCTGGGGACAGGGTAGGGGCTGCTTTTCATTAAAAACTCATCTCCTATTTCTGTATTTTTTTTTCCTTTACATTCTTCAATAATCAAACACACACAATCCCTATGGGGTGCAGTGGGACGTTGTTGCCCAGCGTTTGTGTCTGGCTCTGCCCAGCCGGACTCTGCAGAGCTACAGCCCTCTGACTTTGAGAGAGCTCACACACAGGCCCCTCTTTCTTTTCTGTTTGCTTTTTTTTTTTTTTTTTAATTTTATTGAGTTTATTGGTACATTTTAGGGATACAGTACAGTTACATTCATTGTTGGGATCATGTACCTTTACATGGCAAGTCTTGATTCTCATTTTTTCCCCTTACCTCTGCCTTCCCTTCACCCCCTCCTCCCCTCCCCATCTACAAACACTTTATTTTCATCTTTTCATTCTCTCACATTTTTTTTTTGATGAAGCGCGCAGTGAAGACGGCACACGCGCCCCCTAGTGGCCCGCAGGGCAATCGCCCGAGAGAGAGGAGTTGCTGGCGTCTCCGCACGGACTTGCGCGGGGACTGCGTGTGTGTGTGTGTGTGTGTGTGTGTGTGTGTGTGTGTGTGTGCCCGTGTGTGAGTGTGCGGGTGTGAGCAGGTGTGAGAAGGGGCAGCTCTGCCTTACCCCAGCCCCTGTCCCGCAGACACCGCCGCCTCCACCCCGACGCCCTGCCACAGTGGCACTGACCCCAACCTCGCAGACGGGGAGTTCAGGGGCGCGGAGACAGTGGTTGTGGATTGGCCACACCGCGTGTGCACACCGAGGAGTTGGGTGAGGCCTCGGAGTGAGGCCCAAGCTGGGGAGCGGCTCCTTCTCAGCTGTGGGTGTCAGCCCCATGCCAGGCCAGCGTGGGCCTAGGGACATTTAGGGTCTGCGGGGCAGGTCTGCAGAAGGGCATCTGTGGGGAGAGGCTTTGGGGAGAGGCCCGGAGCTGGGACTGCAGCACGGGTCACGGAATTAGCTGAGTGGGCCATCCAGGCCTCTGGACACAGCCAGGGTCTGTTGCTGGGTCCCTAGAAACAGCCTGTGGAATCAGCTGCAGCACGGTCTCCCAGGACTGTCACTGTGGCGGGTACCCTGGCTGAGAATCTGGTTCCCGGAGAGCTGACTGCCTGGCTTTCAAGACTCAGGTGCTCCCGAGGGGAAGCCCTCCGTGGGGCTGCAGCCTTTCCAGAGTGACTTCCTGAGTCCTCGGGAGCAGGAGCCAGGCGGGATGGGTCAGTGTCTGGCGACAACGGCATATGTGCTGGACTCTGCTAGGCATGCCGTGGACTGTGGGGACACCCCTTGGAAACCCCTCTGGGTGAGGGCGCAGTGGTCCAGCTGAGCATACGTCACTTCCTGGGGGCACTGCAGCGGGGTCTGTGGAGAGAGGCCCAGGAGAGGGAGGGGTGCAGGCTGAGGACCCCACATCCTGGAATCTTGTCACCCTGCCATCCCCTCCCACAGGGTATCAGGTTGGTGGCAGGCAGCAGCATGTTACTTCCTGGGCAGGCCTCCAGCTGGGACATGGGCCCCCAGCCCTGGTCTCCCTGCCTGTGAACACAGCCCTGGCTGACCCTTGCTCTGCACCCCTACAGAGGCCGTGATGCAAACCACCCAGCTATGCTGCCCCCAAATCTCTGACCCCAGCAGGATTGGAGCCCTGCTGGCCCTGGGGTGTTTGTTCTGCAGTGTCCATGACCCACACAGGGACTTACGGAGCTGCCCTGGCCTCCTCCCTGCTGCAGAGCTTGGTCAGTAGTGGCCTGGTCTGGGGAGGAGATGACATGAGGTCAGGCCTCGGGCGGACGTCAGAGGGTATATGTGACCAGGCCCCTGACGCTCCAGGCTGTCCCTCCCCCTGGCCCCTTACCTGCTGCCCTCCCTGGGCCATCCACAGCCAGGCTGACCCTGAGGGAGGAGGAAAACCAGATGAGGGCCCTGGGGACAGAGTGTCAGTGGGGCCAGGGTCATCCCGGGACCTCACCTCCCCTGTGGCTTCCGCTCCTGGTCCATGATGCTGTGGGGCCCTGAGGACAGTCAGGGGTCTGGGTTTAGGGGGAGGCTTGTTCCCAGCACCCCAACAGCCTGTCCGGCACACCCCCACCTCACCCTGAGACCTACTGTGTTTATTCTGCCACTGGCGATGGAGGCAGAAGAGAAGAAGCAGGAGCAGCAGGAGGACGCAGCCCAAGGAGACCCAGCCAGGGTGTAAATGTGTTGCCTTCAGGCCGGGCGTGGCTAGAGAAGATGGAGCCAGGTTATCAGCAGAGCCATTCAGAGCACACGCTGACCCACTCCACCCAGCACCTGTCACAGACACGATTCTGTGTAGACCCCAAAGTGCACAGCACTGGGCCTCAGAGCGGCGGCACCAGGGTCACCAGTAGGGGACAGCATCAAGGACACACTGATGGTTTACAGAGAGCCGGGGCTCATCCTGCTCACCTCTCTCACAGGCCTTCTCCCCTGAGCCCCTGCCTCCTGGGGCCTTTGTCACTGTTAGGCAAGGCCATCGCTGGTGCCCCCACCCCTCATACTGCCCAGGGCACGGTGAGGCCTGGAGCATGATGGGTAACACAGAGCTGGGCGAGTCCGGGTCTGGGCAGTGGGGGCAGGGCCAGTTCTGCCTAGGCCCCTTCAGAGCCTGTGCCTTTCCCCAGGAGCCATAATTACCCACATTTTAAAGCAAGGGGAGGTGTCAGCGTCCCTTTCTTCTCCGGGACCTGGGGTAAATGCTTTAGCAGGGCCTGTGCGCACCCGAGAACACCAGTAGTGCCCGCTGCCTGGTGGAGCCAGGCCTCTGCTGAGGTCTGCTGTGCTTGGCCTGACCCTCAACCCCAGCACAGAGCCGCTGGCGACCCCAGAGCTGAGGATTCTGGGTGAGCGATGCAGGAGCAGAGCTCTGTGCAGGCACTGGTCTCCCAGACTCAGGGTAGCCACTGAGAGCCTGTCCCACCGGCTGGGCACTGCCCTTCCCTGAGCATCCACCGAGAGGGCATCTGGTCACTGTTCACCCGACAAGGTCCCAGGTCTCTGGAGAGAGCAGAGCAGGGGAACAGGGCTGCAGCACAGCCCTCTGCTGCTCCACTCTGCTGGGCAGTCACGCCCCCTGCTCCTCCTACCACCTCCCTCTAGTGACCTCACAGATCCTTGGAAGCCCAGGGGACACAGAGGTGGGCTGGACCCTCCTCACCCGACCCTGACTCTGGGATGTCTCTGGAACTGGCCCCAAAAGGGCTGGACCATCCCGTCCCAAAGCTTCTCACACAGCACCATCTAGCGCTGGTGGGGAACATGCCTGGACACGTGACCTGCCCCAGGCATGGGGATCTCACCAGAGGGGACGTGTTCCTGGGACAGCAGACCTGCTGTCTCCATGGGGAGGATGCGGAATGCACCATCCCTGGGGAAAAGACGCTGCTGCCCAGAGGGGATCTGCCCGCCTGGTCTGGGGACCCACTCCTCACCCAGCCAGCAGGGCCAGCTCCTGCCCACCCGCGCTGCAGTCCAGTGAGACAAACACTTCAGGGAGCTCAGGGCATGAAGGCTGAGGGGACAGACGGGCAGAGAACGGGGAGAGGGCTGGTAGTCGGGGGAGTGGGAGGCCGGGGACAGAGGATGGCAGCTGGGGACATGGTCCGGGGACCTGGGGACACCTGAGCCTGGGGGGCTGGGGGCCTGGGTGGAATCCATACCGGTCACCAGCAGCTGCAAGGTCTCACTACGTAGAGACCAGGTGCCCAGCTTCCAGTAGATGCAGTTGTAAGGCCCAGCGATGTCTGCATTTTCCGAGGTGAAGATGAATCTGGCTTCCGTCTCTGAAGACAAATTGGTCTTCTTTTCCCTAACTTTGGAACAGTTCCCAGCAAGACAAGTCTCCAGGATAAATGTCTCAAACCCAGTCTCGGCCTGGCACAGGATGGTCACTTTGCTCCCCCGGGTGATCACAGGGCCTGGCTCAGCAGAGATGGAGGGTCTGGGCAGCAGCCCTAGGAGGGAGCAGAGCAGGGCCTCAGCACCAGCCCCGTAGAGATCACTATACACAAAACCGGCTTCAGGTGCACCACTCGGTGTTCTGGGCACTCACCGAGCTGTGCACCACCGTGTAAGGTGACGTCCCTCATTCCCAGCCTCCCCATGCGGTCTGTGTGCACTTCAGTTCTCTCCACTGCCTCCCTGACAGGAGGGACCCCGCCCGGAACATCTGGGCCTCTCAGAGCCACTGCCGGACCTGGGGTGTCTGTGCTGGAGCCCCTCCCCTCCACCCACAGCCTCTTCCCGGGGCCTGTTGAGCAACGCCCTGGGTTTTCCTCCACGGTGCCTGTTTATCTGAGCCTCATCTCCATTTCCTTATTGCTGAGGTTTGAAAGTCCCTGCTGTCTCACTGGACAGAGCCAGGGACAGTCAGGCTGAGGCCCTGACAGGGAGTCTGTGAGCCGGCAGAGGGTCCAAACACCCACTCCTTCCTCATCCTTCACTGACAGATAAAGGTGCTGGAGGCACTAACTGCCCAGAGTCGATGACTGCACTTTACATGTGTATGTGTGGGTGATAAAGAGAACTTCTGTAAATAGTCTGGAACCTTCAAAATGTTAAGGAAATAGAGAATAACTGCTGTCTTTTGCTTCTGAAATTTGCTCTGCTTCACTTGTTTCTTAGGACAACAATACCAGAGGCTTCATCATTAACTACAAAGCTTGAAGGTGTGTAGCCCCAGTTTAAAATGTTGTAAGTTAACAGATGCCAGAGATGCTTAGCCACATCCCCAGGGTGAGACCACATGTTCAAACTGAGATAACAATCACCATACCTTACAAGCCAAGTACAGTACACTTAGACCCTAACCCTAAACTTTCTGTAAATCATATGACTATAAAAGAGTTAAGATAAAAAGAATATCACCAGTCCTGCTTCCCTAACCCTGACCCCCACTCTCGTGGGCTAGAATAGCTAACTAGGTGAATCCTAAAGATAAACACCCTGACCACAAAGAAGATGCTACGTTTGGGTTAAAATTAAACTGTGACCATGATTGTACATCTGTGACGGGACCTGAGAGAACTGGAATGTCTCGTCGAGCTACCTAAGATGAGGGCACGATTGTAAAACTCCTCTAAAAGACAAATCGTAACCCAGCCTGGGGTCGGTCGTATGGCACAGCCCTTGGTGCAGGCTGACCCTTTGCTAGCAGAGTAAACGTTTTTGTTTTACCCACTTTTGAGTCTCTGTTTCACTTACCAGTCCCTTCTGCAACATGGGAACCTCAGCATACACCTCATAGGTATGTGAACCTGAGATGTGTCCACTAAATGTGAAAATGTTCATTACATACACTTACAGTGAACCGCATGGGGTTTGGACACAGGTACACATCATGGAGCGGCTAAGCAAGCTCACTAACATGTGCACCCCACATGCTCATGCTGCTGTGTGGGGAGAGCATTTGGCGTTTTCTCTTGCGATGTCCAAGCACACACAGGTCATTATCAGCTGTGTTGCGGAAACGGCCTGAACTTATTCTAACTAAAGATTTGCCTCCTTTGAGCAGGGTCTCCGGGCCCCTTCTCCTACCTTCCTGCAATCTTGGTTCCTCTGTACCCGTGGGGCTCCTTCCCTGCGCCAAGCTCCATAAGAGCAAGAAGCACAGACACACTGTCCCCGCCTTGGAGCTGAGCCGGGGGCAGAGCCAGGCACTGCAGAAGCCCCACGCGCTGCTGCGCCCCGAGGTGAATGTCCTCGGAGGAGGCAGGGGTGTGGGTGCCAGGGAGGGGTGGCTGAGCTGAGCGAGGACAGGTGTGGGCTCTCCACGCCGAGCCCCCAGGGCCGCGGGACAGCACAGTGGGAAGAAAGAGCCACCTGTTGGTCAGAGGACAAGGAGCGCCACCCAGATGGAGCAGGAAGCCCAGGACCGGGGGCTGGCGTTATCGGCAGGGTCTCAGTCTTGAACATCAGAGTCAGTTTAAAATATCATGCGGTTAGGTAAACAGATACGGCTTTAGTTGTCAACTTAAACTTAGCCTGTGAGCTGAGCAGGAACTTGTGCCTCTGGAGAAGTGGAGGGAAGTGGGGCTGTCTGGGGACAGGGGCCCTGGGCGCATCAGGGACAGGAAGTGGCCGAGAGATTGCTATACCCAGACAGGCCAGACAGCTGTGCGGGTCTGATTCTACCTGCAGATAAACTGGAAACCTCTGAGGAGGGAGAATATTTAGCCTGAAGAAACCGTAAACACAAAGCCTTCGGATAAAACCTGAAGACCACAGAGTGGGATAACAGGGTTTCTTCATGTGCAGTGCAGACTGCAGTTGCCTGGATCCTGAAGGACCCGGGCAGCGTGAGGCGGGTTCAGCTGGGTCACGGGCCCATCCTGCTCCCCAGGGGTCAGGGTGTCGCTGGGACGAGCCCAGTCACAGCCCTCATTGGAGACAGACGCAGGTGCACCTGTGGGCAAGGGGATGGAGTGCAGCAGGCGCAGTGACAGCAGGAAGGCTGTGCCCTCGCACGCTGGCCCACATTCGGGCTTCCTGCTCTGTGCCACAGGCCGGGCCCAGGGCGAGCAGCATGGACCTCATCTCCTCCTGGGAACCAGAGGAGCTCAGAGTGGAACCGAGGCTCCTGAGGCCAGGGAGGCCAGTGGGTGGGGACAGGGAAGGTGCTGATCAAAAGGCACAAGCGAGCGCCAGCCAGGAGGAGCCATCTGGAGATCTGTGCACAGGGCTGACCGCAGTGCCTAGTTTCACGGTGTGTGTTTCACACTGGCCGAGAAGGCAGACAGCTAAGGTTCTCACCACAGAGATGGCCCAGGGAGCTCGGCCCATCGATGAGCCTAACACAGCTCTTCCACCTTCCCCATGAACGTTGTAGAAGAACATCGCATTGGAAAGCAGGAACAGAAACAATTCTTATTTCTCTTTTTAAAGTAAGGAAACAACAGACAGGTAGGAAATGAGCATAGGCGCTGGGCCCAGGCGGCACATTTGGGGTGTCCTGATGGGGACACACTGAGGTACCCGGGGCCCCAGAGCCCCTCCCTCCTATCCCCGGGCCCACCTGACTCACCCTCCTGCGCCTGCATCACGGGGCCCAAGCAGAGCACTGGAAGAGAAGCCCAGTCAGAAGGCGCCCACCACCCAGTCCTTACGGCCTGCATCTGGAGGGGCTACAGAGCCCAGGGCTTGGCCTCCCAGGCAGCCAAACCACCCCTCCCTGTGGACACCTCCAGTTCCCTCTTGCTCTTAGGCATTCAAGCCTCCCCAGGTCTTCCCTGCCCTCTGTGAGGCTGGACTCAGCGCCACACCAGGGCCCTGCGTCCAGGACCTGAAGCCAGCAGGAGGTGAGGGGAAGCCGGGCTCCTCCGTGTCCCACAGTCTCCTGGTGGAGTCAGGCTGAGCAGAGAGCAGGACCCTCCCCAAGTTCCCTCCCTGGTGCCTGCAGCCCTCCCTGTTGGCCCAGACTCACCAAGGGCCAGAAGGGCGGTGGGCCACGGGGCCATGGCCTGGAGCTGAGACGATTTACAGACAGGGCAGGGGGGGCGGTGCTGGCTGGCCTGGGCCACTTCCTGCCCCAGCAGCCTCACTCAGAGAGGAAGAGGCCTCCGCTCTCCTTCCCGCTTTCCCGGGAGGGACCAGGGACGAGGCACCTTGCTGGGGAAGGGTGCTCTGACTGGTCTGCAGCATGGGACGAGCGCGGCTGCACAGTGAGTGGCTCTGAGCCCGCCAAGCAGCAGCTGGCCAGGGGCTGCAACACGGAAACCAAGTTCTTCAAACTCAAGGTGGAAGTCACAGAGCCCTGCATAAGGGTGAGCACTGCAGGAGACAGCAGCACACGAAAAACCGCCCTGCCCCGGGGGTTACACTTTCACAGGTGCTCAGGTGCGGTGTCTTCGAGCACGGATGTCTCCTGACCCTCAGCCCCGCTCCCAGCTCTCACAGCCGGGCTGGGGAGGAGTCAGCTCCCACCACACGGCTGGCAGAAGCCCAGTGGTGCCGTCGCTGTGGACACGGAATGGAGACTCCGAACGAATTAGAAATACAACTACGGTAGGACCCAGCACCCCCTTCCGGCTGTGTGTGCAAAGGAAGTGGCACAAGTGTGACAAAGACAGCTGCACCAATTGCAGCATTAGTCACAAGGGCAAAGCTGCGAAACTGGAGATTTCCATGGACCGAGGGGCAGCTGAACACGGTGCACACACAGAGCTAAGGCTGTGCGGCCTGGAGAACAGAAGGGAATTCCCTGGGTGCGGAAACAGCCCAATAAGCCTGACCCAGAAAAGCAAGCACTGCATGGTTCCCCATGCCCGAGGTATCTACAGAGTCAGGCTCCTAAGACACAGCTGGGCTTTGGTTTCCTGGTCAGGAGGAGGAACTAGGAGGGGCTCCTTCTGGACACACATTTCAGACACTTGGAGGAGCAGGCCCTGGAAAAGCGCAGCTCCACAGTGTGAGATGGGTGCCCACGGAGCCTGCCTTACACACGGCCGCGCCAACTGCTTTGCCATCTCTAGGCTGCGCGGGGACCAGGGAAGGCAGGAGGTACAAAGCCCCACAGGAACTGGGCCGTCAGTGTTCAGCCCTGAGACCCGCAGGGCCGTGGGGGCCATTGGGGCACAAGGCTTTCGGGTACAGGGCAGGACGGGGCCTCTGCACACCTGTGCGACCACGGGGCTGAGAGGGGCGCGGCCTGCAGGTTCTCCTGTCCACTGCAGCCAAGTGCCGGGAGGAAGCAACTTCTCCGGGCAACAGTGATGGGTGCCAGGAAGGGGCTGCGGCAGAAGGGGCGGAGTCCCATGCCTGAGGGGGCCTGGAGGGAGGAAATGAAGGGCTGAGGCAAGCATAGCAAAGCTCCCTGCCTAGACTGTGACGTACGACCCAGGCTGGACGATGACCCCCAAGGAGTTTACAGGACTTACAAGACTCACATTTCTCTTAATAACAGGATTTCGTACCGAGAACTTTGCCCTCCTTTGCTCCTCTCTTTTGGTGGTAACTATGATGTGACTTCCAGAGCTGCAGCATTCATTTTGCAACAGTCAGACAAGACACAGCACAACGGACAAAACAGCTAGCAAACTGGAAAGGAAGGCTCCTGAGGCGCTGCACCACGCCACGACTTCCCATCCCTGGAAGTGTGTGTGTGTTTGTACCTAGGGAACCAACCCAGGGAGTGCTGACCTATGTCCCCAGCCCCTTTTAACTGTTTTTATTTTGAAACGGGGTCTTGCTAAATCACTAAGTTGCCCAGGTTGGGCTCAAAGTTGTGATCCTCCTGCCTCAGCCTCCCAGAGTACGGAGAGGATAGATGTGTACAGCCACACCCAGTTTTGGCAGTGTTTTTAATGTGTCAAGATGCATGTGCATGTTCCGTTTAGCGATGTATGAGACGCAGAGCGCATCTGAACTGCACAGCTGGACGGGTACTTCCACCTGGGCACAGCCGCCACCGCAGCCCTGGGCAGAGCAGAGCGTCCTTCCTTCTGCTCCGCCACCTTCTCCCAGGACAGCGTCTCTGGTGTCTGCAGCCTGAAGGCGCATCGCCAGCTCTGCTTCCCTCCACACTGCGCGTCCTGCGTCTCCGGGCCGCTCCCTGCGCTCCCGGAAGCGCCCCGGGGACTGGCGGATTTATCCTCAGTGCGGAGTGACCCTGGGGGCAGCGCTGTGATCCTCCGCTCAGTGCCTTGTCTCGTTTCTGGCCGTGATGAACCACACTGCGCTGGGCGCTATAATGCCGTCAGCTGATGGGGCGCGCGTCCCCCGTGTCTGCAGGGTGGTCTCCCGGACCCCGGGATCACAGCGGCCACCCTCGTGTCGATGGGCGATATTTGGGGGAAACCTGTGCACACCTCGCAAGCTCCTGTAATCAGCTGTTCCCACCCTCTGCACAGGGACTGGGCTCCCGAGAGACGCCCTCTCCATGGGGTGGAGGGAAGTGCTTTCCGGACTGTCCAGAGGACCACACAAGGTTCTCTGCGGGTCCGCGCTCTCCAGATCTCACATCCCGCCCATCTCTCGGAGCCGGTGCCCAGCGATTCCAGCAGAGGAGCGGCGGCAGGCTGCCAACAGGGCGGGGCCAGTGCCGGCCCAGGGCTCCGCCCCTGCTGTAGGTCACATGCGCGCAGCTCACAGCAGATTGACCTGGGGGCTCAGTCTGCGGCTTGCGGTTTTCGTGTTTTCCGCCTGCAGCTGGCTGCTTCCGGGGTGGGACCCCGGGTGGGAGAGCACTCGTGGGGGTTTGTCCTCCTCTGAGGGACCCAAACACCTCTCTGGGGGTGTGCACTCCGCTCCTGGCAGGGGCATTGGGGTCCCGCACCCCACCCTCGCCAACTCTCGCAGCTCCTCATCCTGTTACTTAGCATGTTGTCACCTATTGGCCCTGCCGGTGGCTCCACTCTGCGCCTCTGTGGTGACCCAGGCAGCTGAGGGCACCTTCAGGTGATCCTGGTCTTTGCACATCCTCTTTGTCTTGAGAATGTCTGTTCAAAGGTTTTTCATTTTCTCTCTCTTTTTGTTTTTTATTAAGAAAATGGACTCTAATTAAATAGGAGGAACTGTTTTCTCTTTCTGTGCATGTGAGATCCCTGGCAGACAAATGCAGTCTGAATACCCCTCCCGTTCTGCTAGGGCTTTCGCTTTCACTGGTGTATTTTGAAGGACAGATTTCTGGGTCCTTCTGCTGTCCAACTTCCCCGTATTTGTATTTTGTGGTGAATGTTTCATGCGTGTGTCCCAAATGCTCACCTGCTACAAAGTACGAAGCTGTCCTCCCAGAGGGAGCATGTCCTTCTAAGAACCTAGATGTCCACTCATCTGGCCACGGGACCCCAGAGCACAGGGACAGGCAGGAGCTGTCCCCAGCTCTGGCGGCAGTGGCAGGGCCAGGGCTCTCTGCTCCAGCCCAGAGGAGGCTCTTGGGCCACTCCTGCATCTGGCCTCTGTGTTTTTGTTGCTCCCCCGAAGCTCACACTAACCTAACCCTGAACCAGCGGGCCATGCCTGTTTTATTCACAGGACTAAACACCAACTGAATGATGTGATCTTTAAAAATTTGTCGTTTTTAATAGCACATGTTTGCAGTACATTAAGTTTGCAGTCCCCGTGTGGAGTTCCAGCAGGTACATCACGTCCCTCTCCTCTGGGGACCTGACTGGCCCTGCATTTTAGCCCTGTGTGTTTTGGTTGAACAGTGGGCCCTCAGAGCTGCTTGTTGTCATGCTGGGTGGAGGACACACTCAGGGGAATGGGTCAGCAGAGACTGTTCCTGGGTTAACACTGACTCCTCTGTCTCAGACCAAAGGCCTGGGCCAGCTTGACCTGCAAGCCCTGGAAACCTTGAGGTCCCCGAAGCCTCCCTTGCTAGCTGGCCAGCCAAGGGATTTCGCGTGCTGTGCAAGGGAAACCACGATGCCCCTGTGGCTGTTCCATCTCCCTCACTGTCCCTGGGGACACAGGGGCCGAAGTGACCCCTCTCCCCTCCTCTGTGCACAGGGGACAGAACCTGGGGCTGGGGAACTTGGGCTGACCCCGGAGGGCAAGCCCGTGGCCAGGGTGACAGTGACAGCCAGCTGGTTCTGAGCACCTGTCATGGGAGTGAGGGAGGCCTGGGACGTGAGCCCCGCACCAGTGGACCCGTCTGTCCCCTGGTGACACAGACCCGAACAGCCTTGCCCCAGGCGGACACCATCCTGCTGTGGTCCACACAATGCCTTCCTCAGCCTGGATGGAGGTTTGGGGAAGGCCCGGAAGTGATTCCTCGCGGCCTCTCAGACTTTAGCCCAGTGTCAGCCTGGGGAACCCCAATCAGCCGACCCCCATGGCATCTCTATGTGGAGACACTGGGCTCCCCGTGTCAGGAGCAGGGCTCCGCTGGGCACAGATGTGTCCGCCCCGAGAGCCCTGCCCTTGCTCAGGTCTGTGCTCCATGCCCACCCTGGGTCTGGCCCTCGAGTGAGGAAGCCCACCCTGGAGGAAACTCTCCCAGTCCCAGAATATCACTTTGGCCTTCAGACACCCGAGGGGCCCGGGCCTGGATATGGGAGAGGCTTCCAGTGTTGCGCTCCCACCTCCTTCAGAACCCACTTGGCTAAGCCTCCCACTGCGGATCCAGCAGGCAGGAAACCTGGAGCTGGTAGACATGATTTCTCTCAGGTCACCTGGGTCCCAGAGCCCCTCACCCACTCTCTTGTGTGGGGACGCCCTGCCTACACACCAGGGGCTCACCTTCCCTGGACAGGGTCTCCGAGGAAGGCCCACAGGGACTGTGGGGGTGGGGAGCAGACGAGCTGGGTGCCATGTTCCCAAGGTACAGGTGATGGGGTGGGAAGAGGTGCTCGGGGCAGCCCAGGAGACTGAGCCAGTGTAAACTCCTTGCTGACTTTCTCACAAAAACGGAAATAACTCCTTCCTTCCTTTGAGCCTCTTTCCTCTCACCGCCAACCTCCCCAGAGGTGAGAGATGTTAGCGTCTGTGACCCAGACACCCAATCAGATGGTAAATTTGGCTGCTTTTTAAAATCTAGACTTCTTAACAAGGAATTTTAGGTTCACAGCAAAATTGCCAAGGAGGCAGAGAGTGTCCATGTTGCCCTGTATGCCCACCTCCCCACTTCAACATCCCCGCCACACCGGTGCATCCCTTACTGTGCAGGACCCCCGTGGACACGACTCTCCCTGAGTCTGTAGCTCACACACTGGGCGCAGTGCCTTCCGTGGGTCTGGGAAGTGATG